ACAAAAGTGCCATCACAAAACTCCCTTGATCTCTAGGCCAAAACACATCATATTCGAAGACAATTTCTTGTCTTACGTACAAAAGTGCCAGAACTGACGACACTCAATAAATACAAAGATCGTTAGGTTGCTAGGGTTTCCAGCAAGCGCACGGTTTGGACTTCAATGAAACTTTCTCACCCGTCATCAAACTTGTCACCGTCAAAATGATTATAGCTCGTCTTCACTATAAATTGGTCTATAAGAACAACTTGGTGAAGAATGTGTTTCTCAATGGCCTTCAAGAGGAAGAGGTCTACATGACATAGCCTCAAAGCTATGATCATCAAGACAAAACTCAGGTTTGCAAGCTGAATAAAGCAAATTATGGGTGAAAACAACCTAGTTTGAACTGAGAGATACTCTAATTCAGGTTTGGTAACTCTGCTCACTTGATACAGTAGTTTATTACCAAACTCAACTCAATATTTGCTTTCAAGCACTTAGGATTTCTTGACTATTTTTTTACCAAGAAAGTATGACCTCTAATGGTTTATTGTTGTTGCACAGAAGAAAATATGTTTGAGATCTTTTACTCAAGACCAGTCTTGTCCACGGCAGATGGCGGTCCATGGTGGAGAGCCAAAATCCCACCGTACCGGATGCTTTGCAGCGCCGTTATAGCGGATTATGCAGGAAAAACCCACAATATCAGCCGATATTTACCATCGCGGCGAGCCCAAAATCCGCCAAATATATCCGCCATAGCGCTGCCGCAATTGCGGATATTTGATAACACTGCTCAAGACTAATATGCCTGAAACCAAGCCCATAATATCTTCCCCTATGGTTGCTGGATGCAAACTCTCCAAGCGTCCTAATATCTTCAATCATTCATATAGGTCAAACTCTCCAAGCATCCTAATATCTTCAATCATTCATCACTCTATAGGTCAGTAGTTGGGATGCTTCAATATGTCACAACTACTATACCAGAAATCAACTATGCAATATATCCATCGTGCTAATTCACGGCCTCTCTATTGGACTCTAATTGGACCTTTGTCAAAAGAATCTTACGCTATATCTCAACGATACTTCTTGTGACCTTCATTTGTTTTCAGGTTCACCTTATTGGTTTCTCACTTTAAGGGCTTTCTGCGATGAAAATTAGGCTGCAGACTCATATGACCGCATGTCTGCTTCAAGGGCTACAATTTATTTTGGGACCCAACCCTGATTTCCTGGAATCCTGGTGGTCGCAGACACAGACAGTTGTGGCACGTTCTAGCATTGAAGCTAAATATGAAATCTTAGCTCAAGCTACTTCTTACACTATTTGAATCCAAAAACAGTTGTCTGAGTTTTGATTCTCTTTTCCACTCTAGGAGTGTTCTGTAATAACCTGGTTTTGCATGCCTATGCAAAGCACAAAGAGTTGGATATGTTCTCCGTTTGGAAAAAAAAAAAGCACTTACTGATTAACAAGGTTCTCCTTTTCTAAGGGACAAGGTCAATGTGTTTGTGCTACCCTTTATCACAGTAGTTCCTCTGAAATTGCAATATTCTAACTGCTGTATTTCAGTGCAGTAGTTGGATTAACTACCTCTAATAGTTATTCTTTAACTTGCTATATATAGACTCACACAAACAGAACTCATCAGTAATCATTCAATACATTCAGTTCTCTAATCATCAAATACATATACATTTTATTTTGTATTCATTCTGCAAGTTATTATTGCTAAGCTTATATGAAAATATTTTATAACACCTTGATATTACCTTTTGACAATATTAGATTATATCTTAAGATTAGTTTTCATATATTAAGATTTGGAATCTTGTAAACAAGGCTTAGTGCTTTGTTTACATCAAATCAAGAGCATCAATCTTATTTAATTATTTTCAAGAAAAAAAATTTGTTTATCAAAAATCCTATTAACTTCAACGTGGTATGAAGCCATATCATTATCTGTGGCCTGTGCCATCCTCTAACTATTGCATTATCGAGTCCACCCGAGTTTGAAACCACTCTTCTTGCCAGATATGTTTTCAATTGTTCTGCTAGGGCGGGCGATCGCGGGTGCAACGTAAGTCCAACGTGTTCAGCCAGTTACTCTAACTATTGCATTATTGAGTTCCCGCTGATTGAAGGAAAGGTCACTAGAGTACTTCCTTGATCCAAACCAGTCATCAAGAAGCAGAACCCAGAAGCAAACACAATGTCAGCAGCATTTTCTAAATCCAACTCTAAAATTGCAAGCAAGTTTCTTTCCTAAAATGTTTTACAAGATAATCATTGTCCTCTTTGGACTTATTCCTTATAGTAAACAAGGATACTAAGGGCTCAGAGGGAGATGGAAACAACATGGGAGTGTACTTTAGAGTAATTATTGAGAATTTATAGAACTTGAATTTCTGTGTGTCCTAATTTAAATGTGGAATATTTCTCAGTTGTCATAGAACTGACTAGTAATAGAGTGAAACCTAAGCTCTTATTTATTTGTGTAAGAGTCCCTCATCGGATAATATATGGCATGAACATGTGTTTATAAGTGGGGGGCAATCCTCACTCTATCAACCGGTTTTGTAGGGTTGAGTTAGGCCCAACCACAATTTCTTAACATGGTATCAGAGTCTCGTTTAAGATCCGGTGAGCCACCTTCTATGGTTTCCGCTATCGGGCCACCCACCATTTATTTCCACGCTTCAGTTGTCCAGTCCTGAGCGTGACGGAGTGTGTTAAGAGTCCCACATCGGACAATATATGGTATGAACATGTGTTTATAAGTGGGAGCAATCCTCACTCTACCAACCGGTTTTGTATGGTTGAGTTAGACTCAACCACAATTTCTTAACAATTTGCTCCAAATCATAATTTATCTGGTTTTCTTCCCCCTGGATATATCGCCTTAAGGACAACTCCCTTACAACAAGAGAAAGCATATGTTGAGAGGTTTCTTAAGCCGATTTAATCAATTTGGAATGCAAAAGGGGTTAGCATAGCTTCTGATGAATGGAAGGATTGTAAAAGAAGGTCGTTAATAAATTTTACTATTGACAAGGATTTAAATAATGTCTAATTTTAATTTTTATATGTTTTTTAACCATATTGTATCTTATATTTTTCAATTATTGACGCATCACCGTATCAGATATCCAATACCCTCGTCATGTTTGTGACTCAATTTTAGAGCTGTGCTGGTCAAAGCCACAAATCTAATATTATTTTAACTTTTCTGTTTCTTTTTTAAGGTATACTGGTCTTTACGATATATTTTAAGTGACTTACTTCTTTTTCTCAAGCTAACTGACAGTTCCTCGCATTTCTTCTTCTTACCTTGTTTCTTTTTCTTCCGCTAACAGTTCTCACAACAAGCTCTTCTCCTTTGTTTGTCTCCTTCTGCACGAACACAGAAGAACTATGCGCTTCTCCTTCTTCAGCATGGACTGAGATGTACTTTGTTCTTCTCCTTCTGCGCAAACGCATAAGAACTAAGTTCTTCTATGCTGTAATACTATGTTGTATTTCTGGTGTGTTCAAATTATCCCACAGGATTGCTTTTATAGTATCTTAGATTACATCTTAAGATCAGTTTCAATATTTCTTATTTATTATCATAATCTATTTCTCTATTCAATTACGATTTAGACTCTTTTTTTATAAACAAGGACTAATGCATAGTTAATATTAAATCATAATTACTAATCATAAGAGAGATGACCTATATACCCGATGCATCTAGGTTTAAGGTTAATATGTGGTGTCAAAGTCTCTAAAATCCTAAACGTTTAGTCCATCAACACTCCTAGCACTCTCCGGATTCTCCAACAGGTGGTATCAGAGTCATGGTTGGTTAAATCCCACATTGACTAGAACTGGTGGAAATGTTAGGTTCATAAGAGAGATGACCTATATACTTGATACCTGATGTCTTGTGATTTTTGGTGGATATGAGGTGTCAAAGTCTCTTGGATCCTGAATGTTTAGCCCATTGCCACTCTCGGCGCTCCCCAAACTCCCCAACACATATCAAACTATATTCATAATTCAAAGTCTATAAACACTAACTTCAACAATTATAATCATGAATAAACAGAAGGAAGACCCACCAAAAAAAAAAATAATGGATAAATTTGATTATTTATTTACTTGATAATCAAGAATAAACAAAAGGAAGACCCACCAAAAAATAATGGATAAATTTGATTATTTATTTACCTTGTCGTGTTTTGATCTAATGGAATCAAGCCATTTCCTACAAATAACATAAAATGATCAAATTCCAAGAACGTTGCGTGGAATTGAACATTTAAATGCACCTTAAATTAATTTAAATAAGAGAGCATGGCATTAGCATAGTGCAGGGTTTGAAAGTAACAAAAATATGTCATCCATACAGACAGGAAGCCAAATTCCACGGCTATAAATTTCGCTAGCTGATACTTTGCAAAATTTTGTCCGGCCAACAATAGGTATAACAAGGAACACAGATAAAACAGGGGGAAAATATAAATGCTAAGATTGACAATTGGAACATTAAAAACCTGTCCAACATATTGCAACTTCTAAAACCTAGTCTCTAGCTATGTCAGCAATTTGCTAAACTCTACAGCACGGTACACCACTGTATTTACATAAAAAAATTCAGATTTCTCATGTGCATGAAAGCAAAGAAACGGCATGAGGCCTACCAGTCTTTCCAAGTTGCTGCACAATACCGATAATTGCAGGCGCTTGAAAGTTACACCAAATGTTGCTAAACAACGTAATTATGCAAATTAATGAAAATAAGATATCTTTATAAACCATGCAATTCAAGCTAATTTACTTCATAATGGGATAAGCAAGAGAAAGCGCGGAAAAAAACATGAAGCAAACATCTTGAAAGAGAACTCAGAATATTCCAAATCAACCTTGACTTTGAAACAGATAGCCTCAAAAGGAAGTTGTCATGAATTGGAACCAGCCAAACTCATCAAAAACTGTACAAAAAGAAGGTGTTTAGGCTTTCATATCAAGATTTTCCATGTTTATTGACATATCCCTGCAAATAAAAATATTATGTTAAATGATTTTCGGCTGTGTACTTTCATTGACAAATTACAATCACTGCATAAGAAAGGACACTTACATGGACTAACTTTGTAATTTTCGGCCGACATAAAGAAAAATATTGCTTAGCAGAAACTTCATTTGTTGGAATTTGGTGTGGCTCTAAAGTGCTAACAACCTTGTCAACTGATTTTTTAACAATTGTTATATGTGCTTCCTTGCTGAGACGACCCTCATGCCAAAATGGTTTTAGCAACTCTTTCACTAGATCAACAAGGACTGCACGAAAAAATTTCAGTGCCTTGGTTTCTTTGTGCATACTGCCATCTGTCTGAAAGTCAACCTCCATTTCATGAATTTTATCGTCCCTTGCTACTCTTTTATTTTTGTGCTCTGATCCATCACCGTGATGCCTAGCATCATGCTTGGTCCGTTTTTTCTTTGTTTCAATCCTATCTTCAACACCAAAGGCATTTTGTCCCACATCTAGGTTACCATTTTGGTAGTTTGCACAAGTTCCTGATGTAATTTCTGTTTTGGTTCCAAGAGAATCTTTTCCACGAGGAACAGAACTTCTGTTTGGCTCATTTTCATAAAATTTATTATGGGAAGATACCGAACTTTTGTCATCATTAAGACCGGACATGTGTTTCCCAACTGCAGCAGAATCATCATGTGTCCGCACCTGTGATGAAGCCTGGATAGATGACCCTTGAATTAGAAGGGAAGCTTTCAAAGACCCATCTCCAATATTAGGTATCTCAATGCTATCGCGAAGAGGGTCATAAAGATCTCCAGGGGATGATACATTCATAGAAGTGATAAAAAAGGATGGTTGAAATGGAACAGAAGGTTCCCAATCATAAGAACGGGTTTTTAGTTTATATCCATTAGCATGTTGTGAAACCCTAGATGAACCGCCTAGATACAAATCTTCCCGGTCTGAAGAGAAAGTGGACTTATAGGCGTGATATTCCTTGTCATTGTTCAAAAGCTTTTGAGAGTCCAAAGTACTTGCACTTAAAGACGAATTAAAATCTTTTGTCGGTGTATATCCTCTGTACACATGTTGGTTTCGAATAGCAGCCATTCCCTCTGCACGGGATGAATACGAGGAAAGATTTGAGCTGAAATAATTGTTTGATGTATTCTTTGGAAACAAGCTGTCCCTCATCGGAAACTTCTCTTTTTCATGAGATGGATGCCAACTTGGACTTGCTTCTCCCTCATTCTGCATATTCGTTTGCAAAATAAATCCAGAAGAATGCAAAGGTATGCTTTTATGTAATTTGAAAGCAGTAAATGGAGCAGGAGTACTAACCATTCTTGACCCGTCAACATTTTCCTTAACAACTGTTACAGGGAAATACCTTTATTAGAAATACATACAGAGGGTATACCTGAAAGGGTTGAGCAAATAAGTTATTTGATATACCTTTTTCCAATTTCAATTCCCCCTTCTGATGTGCATTAACTAGGTTTCCTTCAGCTCCCTGGTTGGTATTACTCGCACTATCTTTTATATGAAGAAAGCTACAAGAACTACCTCTGATGCACCAACCTTTAGCGAAAAAAGCGCATGTAACTGCACGTCTTTTGTTTCCATCTGTAATCTGAGCACTGGGAGGTGGACTTCTAGCCCTACTAGCAGGAGGAATTAATCAGCAAAACATAATGGTTAAGAACTATGTGTCGATGTCAACTAATTTAAACATGTTAAAGGACAATAAGCTACTTCTGAAAGAGAAAGCATGCAGTGCAAATTAAGTTTTGTCATATTGTTATTAAACTTAAAAGAACACACTGAACTTCTGTGACCAGACCTTGATGGCTTTTGTTTCGCATCAACCCTTGACTCCGTCTCTGACTGCTTAATTTTCTCCTTAGAGTTCTGACCACCATCAGAATTCTCGACAAAATCATCTCTCGGTATGATTCCAGTTACCACGTCTTTTACCGTATTATTACTAGATGACTTGGTGGCCCTAGAATCAATGTCCTTAACTTCAGATAAAGAAGCTTTGCTATTGCAATCTGGTTCACTGCATCCTCCAATGGTTTTCTTCTGAAGAAAATATCCAGAATTTTCAACATCAACATTTAAGCCTTGACTTTTCTCATCTTCAGCAGAAACCAAGTTTTCACTTGGTTTTGGAGGACTAGAAACTTCTTGTTTCAATGTCAATTCCTCATGCGGCGGACCAGATGCTAAAAGCACGGCATTGCTCTCTTCCATATCATGTGATGACCGTATTACTTCAGGATTCTCAGGCACAGAAGAAACTGGCCCCAAATTCTCCTCTTTTACATCAAGCTCCATGTTTTGGCTTGAATCTACAAAAGAAGATCGGAGCAAAATTATGAAGGGAAAAAAATCATTTTCTAACATTCATCATTCAAAGTTAGTAATATAGCAAACAACGACAATAAAATTTAAAATATTTAGAGCAGACCAACATCACAAATCAAAAATGATCGAAAAATACATAGAGTACGAGATAGGTTCACAGCTAAAAATATAAAAAGAGTATGACAAGTTTAGAACTGATGGACGAATTGACAGTCACAACATTCAAAATTACTAGAGTCTGAAGGATTTAGGGATTTGGTTCTACACATTCGAGCTGGATACAACTGAATAAAGCTAGGTTTCAGCTCATGAGAGTTGGGATCTTTCACAACATGCCTACTAAAATATATGTAAAAATACTTTAATATATAGTATTAACTTTTTATTTTAGTTAGGATCTTACGATTTATGTTGCAATCTTATGTTTTACGATCTTGCAACTCCCTCTCGATCTTTCAGAAATAATTGGATAGGATCTTCTGATCTTAGCTACGATTTTATAGTTTACGATCTTGTTATTCCCTTTCGATCTTATGCAAGATCCCAATTTTGACAGCCTTGACTCAATGCAGTGTTGTTTGTTTCCTTTGCAGATGGTTTCAAGTTGGATGTTAGATGCATCTATGGAGTTGGACGCCACAGAAGTTTGGCATTGGCAGCCCTCTTAGGTTTTTGGGTTCAATCCCTTCTATATGAGAAGCAAACAAATTGTAGTGTGTCACCTTTCTTTGAGCGACTAAGGGGTTGATTTTGCCTAGTTCAAGGACGAAATATAGCTAATAAAGGTAGCTTGAAGGGAAACCACAGTGCAATACCATTAACTAATAAAGGTAGCTTGAAGGGAAACCACGGTGCAGCTGTTGCAGCAGCTACAACTCAGAAAGAGGTTCTGACTCACAAAACAGTGTCAAAACCAGGTTTCGGAATTTTTTTATCAAGGAAAACAAATGAGAAAGTAGATTAATAAAATATAAAAATCATGACTAATAGTAATAATTAATTAATCAATAGAAAAACCTTTGCTTTGTTTATCCGCATCAGGGAGAGAATCTGAAACCCCGTGTTTGTCTTTATCTTTCTCCTCTACCACTGTTTCTTGTTCTTCCTCTTCTTCCATCTCTATTGCTTCTTTTTCTTCTTCTTCTTCCTCCTCCTCTTCCTCTTCTTCCATCTCTATTGCTTCTTTTTCTTCTTCTTCTTCCTCCTCCTCTTCCTCTTCTTCCATCTCTATTGCTTCTTTTTCTTCTTCTTCTTCCTCCTCCTCTTCCTCTTCCTCCTCCTCCTCCTCCTCCACACTTTCTACATAATAAAATTTTAAAAATTAAGATGAAAAATTCATAAAGCACAACATAGGTTAACATTGAAATATGTAAAAAGAGCATGACGAGTTTAGAATTGTTGGAGAAATTGACAGTCACATCATTCGAAATTACTAAAGATTGAATGAAGGAAAGGGTTCCACTCATTGGGGCTGGATTCAGCTCATCGGAATTGGGTTCTTTCACTACATTGACCTATCAGGTTCATTGCAAACTTGCAACAATGCGGCATTGTTGATGTTAGGTTGGTATTTATACCAGGATACAACTCACAGTACAACAAAACCAGGTTAAAAAATATATTAAAGAAAACAAATATGCAAGAACTGATCAAATCAATAATAGAAAAATCATAATAAACTGGTAAATAGAAAAACCTTTGTTAAGAACTGGAATCTCATCTTTGTCTTCATTTTTCTTCTCTACTACTGTTTCTTGTTCTTCTTCCTCTTCCTCTTCCTCTTCCTCTTCCTCTTCCACTTCAACTTCAACTTCTTCTTCCTCCTCCTCCTCAACTTCCTCTTCAACTTCTTCTTCCTCCTCCTCTTCCACCTCTACTGTTTCTTCTTCCTCCTCTTCCCCTTCAACTTCTTCTTCCTCCTCCTCCTCTTCCTCAACTTCTTCCACCTCCTCTTCAACTTCTTCCACCTCTTCCTCTTCTTCTTCCTCTTCTTGATCTTGATCTTCTTCCTCTTCTACTTCCTCAATCTCCTCTTCTTCTTCTTCCTCTGAGCCTTCTTCATCATCTTCCTCTTCTTGAAGAGAAGGATCATCTGGTGCGTTGGGAGAATCAGAAACAGGCATTGCGTGGGTTGAAACTAGATATGGAAATGGAAGCCCCGAATTGAAATGCAATAACCCCCAAATTGAAAAAGAGAGGGTTGCAGTGACAGGGTTTCGTTCGCCCAAACCCAAACACACGACACGACAAACACAAGAATGAATCCTATTTTGACCAAAACAAAAACACTCAGCTTGCATCAGAATCCTTGTTGGACATGTGGACCCCACTCACCCAGCCCATACCCATATGATTTTTGCACCTCCTTTCTTATCAAAATACTACTCTATTTTTATCTTCATATTGCTTTTTTTTTTCTATTCAAACCCTTCATTGTTTCTATGGATATCTCATGTAAAACATTTGCATGTATTTTAAATTTAGGATTGACTCATTTAAATTTATCTAATAAGTTTATGAGACTGCTTAGAAGAAGTTATAAAAATAGCTTACGTAAATTCGCTTGACGTTGGATCAAGGGTTTAACCTATTATCACGTGCAAAACGTGTAGGGATGGAAATAGTTTGAGAAATAGCTCGACGACGAGTCGAGGGTTTGGATTAAAAACGGAACCGACTTGACTTACGCATCAAGGGTTAGATTGTGAGAAACGATACTATTCCCTAAGGGTGCCCCCAATATCGAAACCACGGTGAAAGTGTGCAATAGGTTGATGGTGAATGCGGACGAGCACTCGACTTACGAGAGGTGTTTGAAAATGGCTCGATGACGAATCGAGAATTAGTTTGAAAATATTTTGATCTACGATAGTCCCTATGGGCGCTCCTATAAGATAAACTACAATCAAAGAAATACGAAACATACATCGGAATGGGATAGGGATACATGTAATTTACAAGGGATTGCACGAAATAAAAGGATCTCATTGTCAGGTAGCCCAAGAGAAAGTCGTGTGTGTGCAATGTGTCCTAAACTACACCTAGAACAAAGTCGGGCACAACTCCTTGTTGGGGTTCCTGCAAACGACCAATGATCCAACAGTCCACCAATTTGGCTTTTAGCGTTTCGATGGTTTATTATGTATTTTTGAATATGGGTAAATAAGATATGGAGAATATGATGTGAGTATGAATAATATGAATAATATAGCAAGATAATATAACAATAATATTCACAATAATATTTGACTGAATTATAAAGCAATTAATATTTGACGGAAATTAAAGTTAGTGGTTAGTTTTGTTAGGAATTAAATCGGGACAAATGTAACGCTAAACCGTCGTAGCTCAACTTATGATGAAAGTCGAACTATAGGAGATCGCGTAAATTGATATTCGTGCTAGAAACAAGATAGAGAAATGATATTGAGAACCATTCTCCAATTTAATCGTGTCGCACAGACTAAAAAATGGGAGGATCTCGTCTTAATCGTAAACATTGTGTCGATTAATCGAAGGTAGCCTATCACGATCCCAAAGTAAAGAAAATGACCCAAATGGTCATTTTCCAAAGATTTGAAATCGAGAAGGTTATCGGCTTCGATAAAACGATGTTTACGAATCGAAAGACATCATAGATAGAAAAAATTGATAAAAATGGAAATGAATAAGAAAATGAAATAGAAAATAAAATAATCTCGGATAAATTGTCATCTATCAATAGTTTGACCGATAACAATTTTCAAAGTTTCGTCATTGAAAAAAAAAATTATAAAAAGAATAAAATGAATAAAAAATGGATAAAAATGAATAAAAACGAAAATGAGAATGTAAAAGAAAATATGGTCTCGAATTTGTTGTTATTCATCAATAATTTGACGAACTACAACTTAAAGGTCTCTTCATCGATCCTAAATAAAATGAAATCGAGATGGAACAAGAGAAATGCCAAAAAAACTTAAATCACAAAAATGGTAGAAATTTACATTTTATATTTTTAAAACAAATAGACATGGAAAACAATAAAACAATAAAAGAATGGGGGTATGTGCTGAAATGGGGTGATGTACAAACTATAAAATCGTTTGGGCTTTACCAAGCCCATCATCTATCAAGCTAATGGCACAGTGGTATACCAATGGGCTCCTCAGCCCAGATGCTAACAACAACCACAGAATATGCGAACCATAAAATTAACTCTTTTTACTTTAAAAAAATAAAAATGAAAAAAAGAAACCCAACATTTTATCTTCATCATTCTCACGCAAAATCCAAGCACTGTGAAGGAAGAACCAAAACATTACAAAATTCAATCTTAAATTAATTCAAACATGATGTGAAAATGAATCAAAGGCGTGCTCAGAAGTATCCCTATTTCATCATCGCAAAAAGAAGAAAAGAACACGTTTCAACCTTCGTGCGATGCGATTTTGGCTCTCGATCTACTCCGACTCAAGTTCCTGATTTCATCTTGTTTGGTTTGTTTTCTTCTTGCTCTAATTTCAATTTCTCTTCATCTCTGATCCTTTCTCTGCATATGAGTTTTTTGAGTTATGGGTTTGGTTTCCGATTGAGGATTTTTTGAGAAATTTGGAAGTTTTGTTGTGAGTGAAGGTTTTCTATGATCTCCTTTTTCTCTTTTATGTTTCAGTTTTTTAAAACGTGGCTGGATTTGTGTTGATTGAGAATGGGAAAGTAAGTGAAGGTCGAAGGGGTTTCAGAAGGGTGTTTGTAGAAAGAAGAAAGGTTTTGAAAATCCTTGGAGATGTGGTTCGAAAAGGGAAGAATGGGTTTCTGGTGGTTGCTGATGGAGGTCCCCCTCCCTCCTGGTCGAAAGGAATCTGAGAGAGACTTATAGGAGGAGTCTCGAGGGTATTTTGGGGAGTAATTGTTGTCCAGAAAGAAGAAAAAAACCTATTGATGTTGTCTTTTATCGTATAATTTATGTGTGCCGACAAAACAGATTGGTTGTAGCGTGGTTTTATTTGCCAATCCTGACGAGGAATTCATTATGAAAGTTCTCGATTGAAACTTTGTTTTGGTGATGTTTGTATGGGGTCTGTGGAATCGTACAACTCATGGTTGGGCTTAAGGCATTCTTGTGCATTATGGGTGTGGAATGTAAAGGCTGTAAGTGCGGTTTTGCAATAGGTTTTGTTGTTGCTGATTTTTCATGTCCAGGTTGTGAGTGGTGGGTACCACAAGTGGAGTCAGCTTGACCTGTACTATCATGAAAATTGGACATTGTGATACCCTGTACGCGATGGCAACTCGACATGTTTTGCACCGTCATGCTTGCGGATACGCGATGGTTGGATGTCCGAAAATTTGTTGCGCTCTTATTGTTTCACAGATACATGAACTATCTTAATTTTGTAGGGGGTATTTTTGGTAGGTAAAATGGGTGTTTCTTGTCTCTCTTTTTTGAGTTCTAACATGCTATAAGTGAATTTACACATGAGTGTCTTGTGCAGGTTTGCTACAGTTATTTAAAATCGGTTTATACAATTGTATTGTAGCGATGTGCTGCTGTGATAAAGTTGTTGTTGAATGCTTGTAGAAGCTGCGTATATAGGCCGATGCGGATTGTGGAGAAATTTAGCACGAGATACACATGAAGGCAACTTGATGATGAAGACTTTCGAAAGCTTGAATAATAAGTGTTGGCATGAAATGGCCCTTCAATTTCCATCTCTAAAAACAATCTAACCTTGACTTTTTGAAATGTCTTGGACTGTTGCATCTTGAAATTAAGATGTGGTTTTAGTTATTGCAAGTTAAAGAATTGTCTTCTTTGTATATATTCTTTTTTTTGTGTGTGGAATCTTGTGTAGATGGATTTTGACACTTTGTAGAATGGAATTTTTGGATTATGGGTTGTAATAAAAAAACTGAGATTCAGACAAAAAATGACTTGATATGAAATTAGAAACGGTTTGAATTTAGAAATATGATCATGGATGATGATGACCTCATGTATAATGTCATGTATTTTTTACATTGTAATTGGGCTTTGGACTTTGTACATATCGCTTGTGGCATGTTCATGTATTCTTCACAACTTTTGTAACATTTTTGTAATTGACCTAAATGACACAAGGAATAAGCTTCGTATTAAAAGATACGGCTTTATGAAAGTGTAAATGATTGGGCTTGTGGCATTTTTGATAGTTGGGCCTTTGAATATAAAAATGTATTTTCCAATTCGCGCCCTTCATACTTTGAACCATATGCTCTTAAGTTATTCCTGCAATTAATCGCGTGAAGATCTTTAGATAAGTCATGAGAATTCGAAATGAATTAGGCTAGCGATTCAACTGTTGACAAATGTGATTGAACCTGAATTAACCACAAATGAATCATCCTTGCCATAATCACCTTTAATATTGTTGAATCTAAAATTTCTTGGGCAATATTATGGACTTGTCTTGAAACCAACATCATGTACTGCACAAAATCCTAACCAAATGAACTGAACCTTGATAATCCTCAACCATGGAGCACCGTCAATTTGACACAAACTGATAACTTGACCCATACGAAATCCTACTTGAAGCTTCAGACCAACACCGTTTTAATATTAACCTTGATCACGAAACCAACTTTTTCCTTGACCAAGAATTTGGTCAAGCAACCACATGAACCCCAATCTAAACTGCACATACACTCGACTTGAATGAGCAATATTTTTTGAATGGCGATTGTTGGACGGGTTGTACAAAATGAAAATTATACATGGGTAGGACAAATTTGGGGTATGACAGATGCCCCTATCTAATTGGCTTAGACCAAATAAGATGGACTGTTATGGCGTTCATTCTTTTGAGGTGGAAGTTAATTAGATATGAAGAAGACCCTAAATTTGTCCGAAAAGAAAAGAAATGCTTGGGAATTGAAATACTGGACGAGGGTCTACCTACGAGTAGACAGTGAATAACTGGCAAAAAGTCGCCATCATAGAAAGGATGATGGGACGAAACATACACAGGTTGCTACCACCAAAAGGATGATAGAGCAAAACACACCAGCTACTACCACCAAAAGGATAATAGAGCAAACACTATCGCACAATATGACATCGACAAGATGACAAACCCCCCACCAAAAGGATGACGAAGCGGAA